TCAATTTTCTGGTAGAGCTAAAATTATGTGAATTATCAAATAATTATTATCATTGTTCCTTTTCACAACTTGCATAGATTTTTTCTTTATACTGGCATCACAATTACATTACTTTTCATCTTTCTGGTTGTATGGCACATAATCCGTCGTCGGCATCTTCTGATACAAAAACCTTGTTGTTTCTTGAAATCAATAAAGAATATGCAACTTTTACGTGAAGGAAACTGTAAAATAAACTGGTATCAACATCACTTACACCTGATTACAGAGACACGGCCTGTAACAAGTTTATAGGACTTTACAACAAACACATACAGAACAAACAAAGCTAATCGCCCAGACAACATGATCAAAGATCACAAAAAAAGTACTTTCTTATTGACATGGCTGTCCTTGCCAATTGTTATGTATCTTTGAAGATCTTCAAAAAAACTATCAAAATACAAGGATTTTGAAGTGGGGATCTAAAAAATGTGGTACATGAAGAGATCAATAATTCCATATAGTTAGAGCCATCGGCTTGATTGTAAAAGGTCCCAACAAACTCATTGAAGGGATTCCTGGTAGTCTGGTCTTTCTTAAAGACAAGCACAGCTCACATATTACGAAGAGCTTTATCTATGTAAAATGTGTGTAATCTTAAGGGGGGGTTGCGGGGTGGGGTGCGTACAAAAAATAATCTGTGGAAAAAGTCATGAAGCCATTTATGACCTTAGGTCTCTGGCTGGGACCCGGAAGAAAATATGTATACAACAGATATCAAAAGAAATAATAATAATAATAATAATGGAAACCCTTGTAGATTGTAATATATCGTTGAAGGTCTTCAAAAAACTATTAAAATACAAGGATCTTGAAGTGGGAATCTCAGAATTGTGACACATGAAGGCATCAATAGTTCCAGTTATAGTTGGAGCACTCGGATTGATTGGAAAAGATTCCGACAGACTCATAGAAGGATTTCTGATCGTCCATGCCTTAAAGAGATTTAAAAAAAAATACTGGACTCACAATAACAGCTTACGCATTATGAAGAGCTTTATCTCTGTAAAATGTGTGTGGTGATCTTATTTTATTTTTTTTTAAATTTGTTTTATGCAAAATGATTAGTGGAAAATGTCATGAAGCCATTTCTGAGCTTAGGTTTCTGGTTGGAACCCAGAAGAAAATGTGTATACAACAGAAATCCAAGCAAAAAAAAAAATAATAATAATAATAATAATAATAATAATAATAGAAATAAAATATAGATTATCGTCATTTTTTTTGTTGTTGTTGCATAAGAATTTGAAGAATGAAAATCGGAACTAAAGCAAAGCTGTAATTAACACTCAAACTGAAACATAAGACTTGTTGTCACTTGATCCCTGTCAAGTACGACAAGACAGAAAACTTAATGAACATTAATACAGGATGCGATGGGTAAATTGTCGCCATTTTATTTTTTTTTAAAAAGCACCATGACGCAATTCACTCCGCCAGACATTTCGAAACGGCATGCTTTACTGCTGGACATTCACGCCGGAAGCTCCAATACGAACATTTCAGAGTGTTTGGGTATCAATCTGCGAACAGTGCAGACGATTCAAAAAGAGTTGGATGAATCTAATGGTGATTCCGAAGGTGTTTGAAGTGATTACTAGTGATGGTGACGTTATGCCTCCATAATTCTTGACCTCAGAATCAATACGGATGTCTACATCAATTGCTTTGAGAAGGTAGTACTTCCCTTGATCAAGAGTGCGGTTGTTGGAAGACCCTATATCTGACAACAGGACTCTGCACCATACCACACAAGCAGGAGAACCCAATCAGACAATTTCAGTGACCACATCACCCCTTACATCTAGCCACCTAAGTCTACAGTATGCCAAATTGCAACGCCCTTGATTATTATGTGTGGGTCGCAGTTGAGCAAAAGACCAACATATCTCCTTGTTACACCAACTGAACCCAAGGATTATGCCGGCATTCACCAACTGAAAACAAAGAGACCACCCAGAAGAGTAGCAGGAGATTCCGAATTCGTCTGGTGGCAGTGATTGAAATCATTGGCGATTTTATTGAATAAATTTACTCTTTAGTATTTCAAGATATTTTTTTGTGTAATTTTGGTAAGCATATCTGTTAAAATAAAATGTCGGTGTTATTTTCATTTTGGCGTCATTTAGACGACAATTTATCCATCGCACCCTGTATACTGAGTTTGCTATTTTAACGAATCGGTTTCATGTTATGGGAAACAGAAAGGTAAATTTATATCCAGTTTCCAATTCCAGATATATCGCGAACAAGCTTCTTCTTCTATTACCACGTAGGCGTCTGATTAAGTGGAAAAACATATCTGCCCCAAGAGTAGATCAAAGGAACTAAGGAGCAGCCATTTCCGATAAAGTTTGTAAAAACAATTAAATAAATAAATAAATCGTGTATTTTTCCAAACAGATCATTACGATTGATTCAATCAATTTAATTTCCAACTGGGTCATTTCTTAGTGCATGACTGACTGGAAGGGTTAACTTCTTATACCCTATACTCTCTTTCTTTTCGGCTCCTCCCATTTCTAGCCCCAGCTGAGCCGCTAAACCAATCTCGTAGATTGTTCATAATTTATGATGATGTAGCAATCCTCATTCAAGAAATCGAATGGTTATAAGAGCTTTCTCTGGAAGAAAAAAGAAAGAAATCTAACTATTTAATTGGCCCTGACCGAGAACATTTACAAGGCCATATTATTTCATGCAAATTAGAAGACTGTGTAGCGCTATATAAGTTAGAATCTGAAGCATAGATATTATGTTGACTTTATCTGTTTTTACTTCCATTGCAGTAAATAAATTCACGACAAAGTATCATGAAGAAGTGTGAAGAAGAAATTAGAAACTGGTTTAAAAATTAGGAGCATTTCATGTTAATATCTATCTATCTACCTATCTATCTATCTATTTCTGTTCATTATCTATCTATCTATCTATCTATGTCGGTCCATCTATCTATCAATCTATCTATCTATATGTTTAAATAGTTAACTATAGCTAACTTTCTATATCAATTCCTTGATATCTAGCTGCCTGTTACTGTCTCTTGATATATTCAAGTTTCCCTTTGTCAATATGTCTCTGTTAAAATCTGATTACATAACTATCGTAGCAGTACCCATATGCAACTATCTATATCTTTTCATACAAACACGCACACATATATATATATAATATTTTGCGAGGTGCTTCAATAAAGTGATACAAGTTAAACCTAAGTTAAAGTAGGAGAAAAATAAACGGAGGAAAAGGGGGAAAGGAACAAGAAAAGTAAGAAAAAGAAAAATGAAATGGGAGAAGAAGAAGAAGAAGAAGAAGAAGAAGAAGAAGAAGAAAAAGAAGAAGAAGAAGAAGAACAACAACAACAACAAAAAAAGAGCAGGAAAAAGAAGAAACAAGTAAGAATGGGGAAAAAAGCAACAAAAAGTGGGAGAAAATAAAACAAGGAAAAGCAAACGAAAGAAAAAAGAAAGCGGGGAAAAATAAAAAGAAGAAGAAGCAAAAACATGAAGCAGAAGAAGAAGAAGAAGAAGAAGAAGAAGAAGAAGAAGAAGAGAAAGAGGAAGAAGAAGAAGTAGGAGGAGAGAAAGAAGAAGACGAAGAAGTGAAAGAAGAAGACGAAGAAGAGAAAGAAGAAGACGAAGAAGTAGAAGAAAAAGAATAGGAGGAGGCAGAAGGAGTAGAAGAAGAGAAAGAAGAAGATGAAGAAGAGAAAGAAGAAGAAGATGAAGTAGAAGAAGAAGAGGAGGAGGCAGAAGAAGTAGAAGAAGAGAAAGAAGACGAAGAAGTGAAAGAAGAAGTGAAAGAAGAAGAAGATGAAGAAGAAGAAGAAGAAGAAGAAGAAGAAGTGAAGGCAGGAAAAGGATCGATGTAAATGACGTGATGAACTTTAAATGATTAATTTCAAAATGTAGTTAATCAAGACCCTAAAATATCAAATGATAGACATTAAAAAAGAAAAAAATGATTGTATACACAGAAATACACACACACACACATATATATATATATATATATATATATATATATATATATATATATATATATGAATATGACTAACTTAGAATTAGCTTTAGAATCGTTCAGAAATATTTAGAACATTTCTTGTTGAGTATTACTTTTATACTGACTTTCATTTTAACTGTGTGATCAACATTTGTGACCTTGTACCAGACTAAGCTATGACGTATGAAACAAGCTAGTTTCGTGTGCCATTACTCTAATATTGGCTTTCAAATCCTACCCTAGAGTCCTTTTCCTAAACTAACATTAAGCCTTTAGAAAACTAGTCTTGCACTCCGTTGCCAAAGTAAGGAAATGCACCTTAATTAGGGTTTGAAAACATTTGCAATCTGACTAAGGTAAGGTTTATTCGTTGCCGTTCGACAATCGCAGAACACCGTAGGTTACAAAAGACTTTTAGCCTTGTGCCAGGTTTGGTTTGACGTGAAAAACACCGACCACCACAATGTGTCGTGTATCGCTGTTAGTCCCTTTGATCAGTACCGTCTTCCTTTGATATTCAAGACAGATTTATTAATACCTACATGAACGGTAAAGATCCATATCAGTATAGACTTAGGTAAGAAAAACGACGTCAATCACAAATAAAAATGAAAATCTATTCTTAATCAAAAGCGAAAAGGCGAGCTAAACTTTTTTGTAAAGATAACAAAAACAGATCTGTCATGTAATATGAAAAATTGAAAATAAATTATCTTTTACGAAGATATAGAATAGAAATGAGTCGTGAAGTGCCCAGTGGCTAATAGTCTTGTATATTTTTTACTAGTACCAAAGGTTAGTGTTCGAGCCTATGTAAAGGGCGATCTTTTGAAGGCAAGCAGGCAATTCGTCACCTAATATCCGTTTGTACCGTACAAAGCTAAGCGTATGAATATCAAAATGATAATGGCGGTTAGTGAATAGTTTTGGTCATTAAAATTTAGGATCGGGAAATATTAGAGAGAAGAATAAGGGAAAGCAAAAAACACGTTCTGAGAAAAGTGAAACAATAAATGAAGCGAGTAGAAAACAGAAAAAGAAGAAAAGAAGAAGAAAAAGAAGAGGAGGGAAACGAGAATTAGCAAAATAAATGACTGAACGAATAGTGGAAGAAATAGGGAAGAGATGATAAGGAAACAGGACCTACAAGGAAATAAAAAGAAATAAATAGGGAAAGAAAAGAGAAAGAAAGAACAGACAGATAAAATGAGAGAAGAAAAACAAGATGAATTTAAATAGAAAATAAAATGGACAAAGAAAGAAAAGAGAGGAGAAAAAAGAACAAACAAGAAAAAGACGAAAAAGAAACAAAGAAAGAAAATAGAAGAAAAGAATGGCAGAAAGAAAGAGAGGAGAAAAGAACTGAAACGAAATGAAGAAAGAAAATTAGAAAAAAAGAAAGGAACAAGCCAAGAAAAATGGGAAGAAGAAGAAGAAGAAGAAGAAGAAGAAGAAGAAGAAGAAGAAGACGTATGATAAAAACGTAAAGGAATGAAAATTATGAATGAAGGCGGGATAAAAGGAAGCGAAATGCTGAAAAAAAAAAAAAAAAAAAAAAAAAAAAAGGAGGCGAAATGACCAGAAGAAATGAAAAAGTTGGAAAAAGAAAAAAAACTATCTTGAGAAATATATTGGAAAAAAAAACGGAGAGAAAAAAATGGAGAATGAAAATGAGAGAGAGAAAAAAAAGAAAACAGAAAACGTAAAATATAAACAACGATGAATAAAGAAAGAAAACAAGAAGAAATCCAAAAATAGAAAAGGTCGTCTGCTAAAAAAAAAAATCAGTGAACAAATGAAGAAAACAATAGAAACATTAGAGAAAAATAAACAGACGACATTGGCACGAGTCAAATTCTCAGGAGATTAAAACGTCACTTTCAACACTGACTATTCTGTAAAAAATAAACTTTTAATAACCATTCCATAACAGTCGTATTTTGTTTTTAACTCAAAACCTACTTAAAAAGAATTAACTTTTGTTTTTCTCTAGAAGAAAAGTTAAATCGTTTATTCATCGTCAGATGATTGGGCAATAGTAGTTACAGCGTGAACAGTAATCATAGAATTGAAAACTCTGTTGTTGAACTAGTTTCAATTACAGTAGTCACTGAGTTTGATTTGTTTAACATGAAAAGTGATCATTTAAAATGAGATGAATAAAAGCTTTAAAGCAGCAAAAAGGTGACACGCTGAAAATGACTTTCGGAACGGTTTACTTTTCCTTAAGTTAATTAACTGACAAACAGCTCATTTTTAATCCTGTTTGTGCTGACAATTTTTTCAAATGGCTGTTTCAAAATTCTAAGCCTAACACGACCATCATTTCATTAGAAGATCTTCGAATATATATATATATATATATATATATATATATATATATATATATTATTGGAGACAATCCTGTCAGCAAGACGACACTCGGTATTCGTTTAAACTATAAGGTAATACTTAACTTGCCCGTCTCTCTGACTTTCTTATCCAGTTTGTTTTTTGTTTTATTTTTTTTTATTTTTATTTTTTTTTATAAAGTGATGGTATCGATAAATATTGTTTTAGAAGGTTTTACAACGTTTTTATTAGAAATTTAGTTTTAGCCTTTAATATTTTAATATTACTTATCAACATACTTTCTAATGATTTGCTAATCGAAAGGATGACAGCTTAAGACGACTTACAATGATTTTCATTATATATCTTCATTTTTCCGTATAGAAAATTAAAGAAAAAAAATCATTTTTTCTAATGTAATTTTCAACACGTTACTGTTCCTTTATACTTTACTAATGTTTTGTACTAAGAAAAAATTATTTAAGTATTATCTTTTTTGAAGAGACTGTCTTATTTTTTTTCTTAATACGTTGCGATTATGTTACTCGTAAAATAGACATATCGCTTTTGGAAACAATATTTAGCACACTAAATTTTATTAACTCTAAATGGCTGCTCATCTCAACTTTGCATTCCGTAAATGCGATATTGCGCAAAACTTAAAATAAGCTTAAGATATATCTTAGGTTTAAATTTCAATCAGAATAAAATTGCCAGCAATTAGAAATCAAGTGTTATTCTTATTATGTTAGGATTGCTAATACTTAAGTCTGGTACAAGTTGTTTTTTTCTGTTATCGTTACTAGAGAGTGATGGCAATGTCATGGCGATTTGGTTTTAATTCATTCAGTTAAAACTAGCTAAAAAAAGAGAGGTGGAAAGTAAACAAAAGTTACAGAGAGAAGGGGAAGAAATAAATGTAAAGGGTAAAGTAAAATCAATTAGAAGAAGGAAAAATAAAGGAAGGATAAGAGAAAAAAAGAAAGAAGAGAAATTGAAGAAAGATTGAAGAAGAGAGGAAATAAGAAAATGTAGATAGCGAAGAAGAAGAAGAAAAAAGTAGAAAAAGAAGAAGAAGAAGAAACAAGAAAGAAGGAAAATAAAAAGAAGAAAAGCTGGAGGAAGAAGGATAAAATAAAACAGAAGAAGATAAATGAAAAAGGCAATGTCTAATAAAATAATCAAGAAATAAAAGGAGAGAAGGAAGAAGAAGAAGAAAAAGAACGAAAACAGGCGGGGATGAGAAAAGAAGAAAACGGATATGAGAAAGAAAAGAGATGGAGAGGAAAAGAAAATAAAGAAGAGAAAGAAGGAAAAAGAAGAAAAAAACAAGAGAAGAAGAAACACTGAAGATAGGATGAAAGAAAAGGCGGGGAAAGGAAGAACGAAAAATGAAGACAATTAGAAGAATAACGAAAGAAAATAAGAAAAAAAAACGAAAAGCAAAGTAGACAAAGGCTAAATTCCTCAGAGAAAACCAGTATCCCATTAGGAATCATAGCAGAACCTACACGCAAAGAGAATATTTTCTCAAAATGCTCACAATCATAAAAGGTTTGGTATGGAGCGAATTCACATGGAATTTCGTTAATGAATTTGCTGTTGCTCTCTTATTTATTATAGATGTGCTTGTGGCGTAGTACTTCAAATTCTTGTTCATTTTGGTTCAAATGCCATACAGAAAGGCTTGAATCCATCTTTTCCATACGGCTGAATAACAATGTAGAAGGACTCTCTAGACTTGATAGACCTGGGTAAGACGATAAACTTCGTCTAGCAGCAAGACGGATCAAGAGATTTGGCGGTTTGAGAAGCGGGAAACTACGGCTTAATTGTTGTTGTCCCCAGGTCCACCCTAACCCGGGGTGGTAGCTCCTGTTAAGATCCCAGCTATGGGCAAATAATAAACACCCAAAGAAAGATAAAACATTATGAATGTATAAAACATTATGAATGTATAAAAATATTTTTTTTGTAATAAAAAATACCAGCAATACATATTTATATAAAAATATATACATATTTATATAAAAATATATACATATTTATATAAAAATATATACATATTTATATAAAAATATTGCCAACGATACTAAATTTTATAATAAAATGATCAATAAGTACATTTTTAAAGCAGAATAAACAAGAATAAATTTTATAGCAAAATGACCAACAATGCATTTTATCTGTAGTTGAAGGCATAAAATTGCGTTCCAAATATTTAGATTTCGGCATTAAATAACCCATAGAGGTTGATATACGGTTAAACAAAATCAACTAACCTTAAGCTTGGGTTGACAGACAGTTTACGAGAAGGAAAACCGTGATGAAAGCAGAGGGGAACCGCTTTCTTAAGAAATCATCGTTCTTTGCAGAAAATAAAAGAAAAGGAATCTGTGGAGAGCCATAGTTGCCTACGTCTTGGAAGGATATCGTAAAATAAATATAAACTTGATTTATTATCTTTTCTATGAATAAAGATCACAAGCAACCAAGTATTATTTCCATGCGGCCACGCAGATCAGTGCTGGCCAGGTACTGCATTGCGGTCATCAAGCCTGAAACAATGGTTTCAGTAGAATGTTACCCTATACTTATATCAAGTATAGACTTAAGACGGTAAGTATGTAGTTCTCGAAGAGGATCGAACTCAGACGAGGTCTAACAACATCTCTTTCCATTCTAAACATATTCCGACTTTATCTTCACCTTCATTACCATATTCACAATGTTTCGGCTGTTGTACACACCGGCCTTCTTCAGGTGTTTGTAATTTCGAACCGAACCCTTTATTTCGGCCACCGGGGTCGATTGTTCTAGTTCCACGTACCATGTCTCTTCTCTCAGTTATTTCCCTTTAACTCAACTTTCTTTTTTGGTTCACCATTGCTGTAGTCTGGTATTGAACACACAACTTTTTAAGACTAGTCACTAGATCTAACCAACGCCTTTATCCACTGGGACATGTGTCCCTGAGGAACTAGAACAATCTACCCCGGTGGACGAAATAAAGGGTTCAGTTCGAAATTCCAATCACCTGAAGAAGGCCGGAGCATACAACGGCCGAAACGTTGTGAATATGTCAATAAAGATGAAGATAACAGTCTGAATAATGTATATAATGTAAATTAATCATAATACCTCATCTCAGCGATATAGACAGATAATGAAATAGGCTTCATAATCCGGATGTGTCTCTCATCAGGTACAACATATATCAGTGATGGGACGTCGTCGTGCGGTCATGTTAGTGAGGTTAGTCGGGTTGACCATTGCAAGAGAATTCGATCCTCACAGGCTACGCTGTACCATAAATAATCTAACAAGCGCCGTAAACTCAAGCAACTAATACATTACTGAAAAGGTGCGGTGGCGTAAAGTTTATTGGCGCGTAAAATGGAATCGTCAAACCTAGTTTAAATTTTGAACTAGTCCGTTGCGTTCACTTTCACACTAATACCCTTGAGAAATGCATGAATCAGTCTCTTCCCCATCTAGCCTAAAGGAAGGAAAATTCTGAATAACACATTTTGGAAAAGGCAATACTCAGTCAGTAGAGTCGTTTCGCTTTATCTTTTTCAAAGTTTTCTCAAGAATGTATGACAATTCCTGGAAAAAATTAAAACTCTGTGGCGAGGGAAGATCGCTTACGTCCTGGATGGGCATGGTCGCTTACGTCCTGAAGAGTCATTATCGATTACGTTCTGAAAAGGCATGGTCGCTTACATCTGGAAGGGGCATGTTCGTTTACGTCCTGAATGGGAAAGGTTGCTTACGTTCTAAAGGGTCATTATTGCATGCGTTCTGAAGGGGTATGGTCGATTACGTTTTAAAGAGTCGTTATCGCTTACGCTGTGAAGAGACATGGTCGCTTACGTCCTGAAGTGTCATTATCGCTTACGTTCTGAATGCGCATAATCGCTTACCTACTAAAGGGACATGGTCGCTTATATCCTGATAAATCATTATCGCTTACGTCCTGAAGGGTTATTATAGCTGAAGGGGTATGGTCGCTTACGTCCTGAAGTGTCATTATCGCTTACCTACCGAAGGGACATGGTCGCTTATATCCTGATAAATCATTAGCGCTTACGTCCTGAAGGGTTATTATAGCTGAAGTGGCATGGTCGCTTACGTCCTGAAGTGTCCTTATCGCTTACGTTCTGAAGGCGCTTAATCACTTACCTACTGATGGGACATGGTCGCTTATATCCTGATAAATCATTGTTGCTTACGTCCTGAAGGGTTATTATAGCTGAAGGGGCATGGTCGCTTACGTCCTGAAGTGTCATTATCGCTTACCTATTATTATCGTTTATGTTCCGAAAGGGTATAGTAGCTTATATCCTGAAGGAGAATGGTTGCTTACATCCTGAAGGGCATGGTCGATTACGCCCAGAAAGTGTATGGTCGCTTGCATCCACTAGTGACATAGTCACTTACATCCTGAAGAGTCATTATACCTTACGTTCTGAAGGGGCATGGTCGCTTACGTCCTGAAGGAACATGGTCGCATACGCCATTATCGCTTACGTTTTGAAGAGGCATGGTCGCTTATATGCTGAAGATTCATTATCACTTACGTTATCAGGGCGCATAATCGCTTACCTCCTGAAGGCACATGGTCGCTTATGTCCCGACGGATCATTATCGCTTACGTCCTCAAGGGTTAGTATCGCTTATATTATGAAGAGGCATAGCCGCTTACGTCCTGAAAGGGTATAGGTCGCTTACGTCCTGAAGGGGCATAGTCGCTTATGTCCTGAAGTGGCATAGTCGCTTATGTCCTGAAAAGTCATTATAGCTTATATTCTGAAGGGGCATGGTCGATTACGTCCTGAAGGAACTTGGTCGCTTACGTCCTGAAAAGTCCTTATAGCTTACGTTTTGAAGGGGTATGATTGCTTAAGTCCTGAAAAACCGTTATCGCTTACATCCTGAAGGGACATGGTCGCTTATATCCTGAAGGGGCATGATCGCTTACATCCTGAAAGGGCATTTGTCGCTTACGTCCTGTAGCGGCGTGGTCGATTACGCCCTGAAAAGGTATGGTCGCTTACGTCCTGAAGAGACGTAGTATTACGTAAAGAAAACTATTTTACGTCAAAACATCAACATCCTAATAGTTTTAATTTTATACAACTATACTTTTTTTTTATAAGCTTTTCACCCCAAGCAAGACGGGAAGCCATTAGCACGCAAGGGGTTACAAAGACTGAGTGATAGAGGAAAGGATGAAGAGAAGGATAGGGGATAGATCTGGGCATCTGGAGACATCGATTGACATTACATTTGAATAGTTGGAAATAAAAGCTATTAGGGAAACAGGAAGAGGTGAGGTAGTTCCACGGGCAAGAGACGGCTACATTTATCAGTTTCGACAGTGAAAGGGTGAGAGCGAGATGCCAGCTTAGTTGAACGCTTAAATTCATGAAGTCTGGGAACCAGTGAAAGCAGCTCATCGGAGCAGTTACCATGAAAGTATTTGTGAAAAAAAAGACAGAGGGAGGCGACTGTAAGTCTGTGAGAAAGCGACTGCAGACGACAAATTTCTTAGCTTATTCTGACATAAGTTATAATGGAAGTTGGTGGAAGTAGGAAGAATATATTGCGCCTGTCAGGAGATTGGGATAAGATTGGGCCAGGTTAAGTAATGGTGAAGTAATGGTTACAATGGTTAGTCTAGTTGGCCATTAACTGAATAATGAGCTTCATTTTCACTGGGTGACTTATGCACAAATTTGACATCACATAGCCCAAGTGTCGACATATCGAAATATCAACTGAACAACAGAGAGAGACTTATTAGGTTAATTATTGTCCTTATGAATTTTGACTTTTTGTTCGTCTTTATTGTTGATATTTCTTACAAAATAAAGTTTCTTTTTTAATTTATTCCTTCAGTATTTTTTTTTTTATTTTTGCATCCTACACACTGTAAGTACGAAGCCAGTTTTGTAATTATACAATTTGTATTTGCGATACAAATGATTTGTAAAAAGGATGAGAAAGAAATAAATCTCTATAGTATTTACATTAGTCGGACTATTGTCCTCATCTTTGTCGCCATATTTGTCACAAAGTTTCGGCCGTTGTACGCTCCGGCCTTCTTCAGGTCGTTGGAATTTCAAACTGAACCCTTTATTTCAATCACTGGGGTAGACGGTTCTAGTTCCACGTGCCATGTTTGATGGATGTCAAGTTATCAGTTATCTCCTGCTAATTTTCCCTCTGAAAGTTCTCCACTGCCTTAACCAGGTATTGAACTCACCTTCTTTGGGTTTGTCACTGGATCTAACCAACGCCTTTATCCACTGTGCCATGTGTCGAGGACACTAGTCCGACTAATGTAAATACTGTACATAATACCCCATCTCAGAAATATAGACAGACCGTAAATCTCTATATCTTAACGTTTTAATGAGATTTAAGTTTCCACATGTCTTCCATCATTGTCAATACAAAGGGTAACACGATTTTGCAGTTCATTGAAAACATTTGCCAACTGATTTACAGTAATGCCTGAAATCACATTAGTTATTTTAGCTATACTTAAAACTAGGTCCATTAAACTTTATAACATTCTTACAGATTATTTCTATCGCAAATACAAATAAAGTTATAAATTTTTTTGAGTGCACACTAACTTTATGGACACCCTGTATTTATGTGACTAAATGTGTTTTTCTATTCTCAGATCAGGGGAGGCACGTTGTTGTAATGGATAGCGGCTCGAATTAAGGAATTTAATACCCTTGGGAAAGGTCTGAATCTTCTTTTTCTCCTCCCAGCTATGGTTAAATAGCAGAGAAGACCGGGTTCTATAGCTTTGGATGGCAACTGGTATACCGCAGAAAGCAATGGCAACCTACTGTGGGAAAAATCTGCCTCGTCAGTCATGTATCGAATGATACATGATCGCCTAAGCGTGCATCACGCATGGCACATAACTGACTGACTGACTTTCCCCTCGAATCCATTACACTCACTTACGGGCTAATACCCTTTGGAAAGGTAGGAATCCTCCCCAGCTATAGATAAATAACGTGACAGACCGAGTTCTATAGACTTGGATGACAACTGGTCTACTGCAGAAATAAATGGTAACCTACTGCTGGAAAAAAATCAGCCTCGTCAGTCATGTATCGAAAGATACATGATCGCCTAAACGTGTATCAAGCATAGCACACAACTGGCTGACTCTCAGATCCCTGTAACCTAATTGGTAAGGTGCTGTGTATGTTAAGCAGGCTTTCAAGAATGCAGTACGTGAGTTCAGATTTTCTTTTAAACTCATTCTTAATTTATTTTTTTTAAAGTTACGTAGGCTTTGAGTAATGGTTCACAAGACTAGACCTGTTGCCCGTTGCTATCGTGTAGTGATCAACCCGGATTGTTTGCTATATACAGCATTTGGCATTATCGTTAAATAAACCAATCCTATATGGCATTCATTAAAAACGTACATGCTCTGGTTGTTTATCACAAAGACTTCAAAATAGGGGCAGGGTCTTTATTCTCTTTTAATTCCTAGAAATTCCTTTATGAGGTAATTTTTTATTAGCCTTATTGAACGTTGCTTAACTACTCCGATTAAAACTAAGTGAGCTTTTTGAAAAGTCACGTAGAGTATTGCTGCCGATTGCGTTATATTCAACGATATCGTACCACCAGCCCTGTGAAACATATTTTTGTCATGACGCACAATAATAGGTTGATCCAGACAGACGATTATATTCTTTAAGTACAGGGTGTCCATAAAATTCGGGTGCACTTTAAAAAGATTTATAACTTTATTTATATTTGCGATAGAAATAATCTGTATAAACTTTAATGTACCTAGTTTTAAGTATAACTAAAATAACTAATGTGATTTCAGGCCTTGCTGTAAATTACTTGACAAATGTTTTCCGTGAACTGCAAAATCGTATTACCCTTTGTATTGCTAATGGAAGACATGTGAAAACTTAAATCTCATTAAGACCTTAAAATATATAGATTTACTTCTTTCTAATCCTTTTTACAAATCATTTCTATCGCAAATACAAATAAGCTGATAAATATTTTAAAGTGCACACGAACTTTATGGACACGCTGCATTTGCAAATTATGCGGTTATTTAAAAAGCATGGCACATGACAACGATAATAGAATACCAATAAGCATCAAATACACTCTCATAAGCAGTTCCGTAAAGCAATTGGTGTTGTGAGGTATCTGCAGCTATACTAGCAGTGGTTTGTCTAGGGCATTATAGCCTGACGGAGCCCATCTCTCTTCAGGCTGTTTTTGAATTCAAAATTCTCCTTCTATACTAGTTTCTATGTCAAGGCACAACAGTTTAGTCAGCCATCATATATAAGCAAACTCATTTTAACATACGTTTCAGTTAAATAACCGATTTTCCGGTAATCCTGGTGTCGTAATCGTACCGGATTATTCATTTTTCAACTGATATCACTTGATCTTTTATGTGTCGTGTCCTTTTAGAACGTAGGCGATCATGGCTCTCCACTTCACCCTATCCCTTGTAGCTCTCAATAAGTTTTGTCTCTTTGCTAATTCTCCCAGACACCGTTCTGTCATCCACTTGCTTAATTAAGCCAGCTAGGTATGTTATCCGTTCCTTTCGCTTGTCTCTCGTTTTCCTTTATTCAACCTATGAGTATCAAATTCTCCAAGTCATCTCCTCTCATCACGTGTCCTAGAAATTTCAGCTGCTTCTTCCTGATGAGTATAAGCTTCCTCCTTGTTTGCATCCTCTCCAAAACCTCATCGTTGCTCACACGCTCGGTCCATGATATCCTTAGCATCCTTCTGTAGAACCATACCTCCATTGCCTTGAGTCTCTTCTTTTCTCATTACGTGTCCCAGAAATTTTATCTGCCTCTTCCTGATGTTAAGTATAAGCTTCCTGCTTTTTGGCATCCTCTCCAAAACCTCATCGTTGCTCACACGCTCAGTCCATGGTGTCCTCAGCATCCTTTCGTCGAACTACATCTCCGTCGCCTCGAATCCCTTCTTCATCTTTGAGGAAATCGTCCAACACTTCTAAAATGAAGGTTTCTAAGAAAAGATCCGTAATCGATCGAAATTGCTACAGGCGCGAAATTCAGAATACAGGTCAAGTTATTTTTGTTTCTTTAAAAACGTCCGTTTGATGGATAGTCTCTCATCATGTGCGGATTTTTTTTAAATTTAATATAATTTTTAAATTTTAAATTTAAAACCCAGAGTTTCACGGCTATGTTATCCACTCGTCATGCTTGTTTCACCTTCTCTGCCAATTAACGCTATATTACCGACAAATAAGAGTTAATAGGTGGGGGGTTGATAACAATTATTTTTTTCATGGTGAAGACAGACTTTATTATTGTTAGTATGTACGTAAACACATGTTTTAAAACAAGTTTCACTGTAGTTGAAGCTGCGCAGATTTTTTTTTAATAAGAATATTGATAATTTCCGCTAAACTTAGATGTCACTTGCGGTTATAAATTGTGCACATGAAAAAAAAAAGAAGAGATGGTGTAAAAGGATTAGTTACTGCCTTGTATTGCAGCGTAATGTGTCGCGCCATTTTCTGCAATCCCTTGCGTGCTAGTGGCACTGCCGCATTCGATGGGGTAAAATGCTGAAAAAGAATTC